AAAGATTGAATGACAAGAATCAAAAACAAAAGCAATGAAATTCTGAATAGCACGATCTTTTTCTTGTAATAATAATAAAAAAGGAAAAGATAGAAACAAGTAGTCTTAGAAAAAAAAACTAGTCAAAACTATAATTTATTCTTCTTTTTTTTCCTTTTTCTTTTCCTTTTTCATTTAAATGACATTTATACATGATATTGATGCTCTTTTCTTCTTCTTTTTCTGCTTTTTTTTTTGTTTTAATTGTAATCTATATTTTCCTCTAGTTAGAACATACCAGATTTCCTGACTACTTCACGACGTACAATACACATTCGACAACGCCATTTTGATGTATGTGTTTGATTTTCAGTATTATTTCCATAATGTATTTCAATTAATTCTGGTGACGTATAATTTCCACAACGTCGACAAATAGGTCGATGACAATCAGCACATAATATAGGTGGTGATAACGGTGTATTATTTGATTGTATTTCAATATTTGAATAACAAATATAACATTGAATTATATCAGATGACGATAAAATTGTTTGAGATAATTGAACAGGTGATGTATTAAATGAATTATTTAATGGACTTGTACGTTGTCGTTGATAATCACTATCAATTGTTTGTTGAAGATGAACCATTGTACGACGTAAACCAGATAAACGTTGATTTTGTTCATTTTCAATAATAGCTTGTTTTTGTAAAACAATTTCTAATCGTTCAAGTTCATCAGGTAATAATGTAGAGAAATCAGGAGATGGAGGTCGAATAATTGCTCCGGTTGTTGGTGTTGCCTGAGGCTGCATGTTGATGCGATTCGACAGCAACGTCACACCCACTTGATAACATCAACATCAATATGCCTCAACTCTTAAAGGCATACACAGACGAACGAGTTCAACACGTCTTCCTCTTGTTTTTTCTCTCTTCTTTAGTTTTCTCGTTCTTCAAGCGTAATTTGAAAAAAAATGTCGTATTATGAGTGACACACGGCATCGTTCTCAAGAGAACTGAAAAGATCCTCTTTCTCGTTGCCGTGTGCTCAAAATAATAGTAGCCGTATGTGTCTATAGCGAGCACGCATACACATAACGTAGAGACAAGAGATTGAGCGTTAGCTATCTCTATCCTCTCATTCCTCGCGCGTTCTTTTTTTTTTCTTTCTTTAAATATTACAGTAACGATAGCAGTCATAGCAATGACAGCCGTTATAAACCGAAGAGAGACAGAGAGAGGGAGAAAGACTTTCATTTACATTCGTGTCTATCATTATGTATGTCATCGCTACTGTTATTAAAAGATATAGAGATTAGTAAAAATTTTGTCAATTAACAAGACAATATTATTGGATCATGATGTGATGAAATGCGAGTTTTTCACTTGACTAAAAAAAAGACAAACATGATATTAAATATAAATACGATTAGTCCAATAATAATTTTCTTCTTTTTTCTGTTAATTTATAAATACTATTTCATGACTATGTACATAAATATGTTAATGAGAATCAAAAAGTATACGAGAAAATTTTTATTGATTGAAAACATTTATATTACAAAGTCTCTCTATGAATAGAAAAAAATAATTTATTTTATAATCACAGTTAATTACGGAAATGTTTAAAGATTATCAATATTTAATTATTTATGTAGCGATGAATGAACATCATTTATCATATTCATAGATAAACATATGTTTTTTATTTAGTAATTTGTTTGTCTTATTGATGAAAAATAATATTTATTGTCAACGATCATACAATCTAAAACAGTATTTTAACAACGGAAATAACTATCCATATGTTGTTAATACTCATTTTTATATAACTTTTATCATAATAAGTATTGATGAATGCATTCTTCAATTTTAATTGAAATATTCAATATAGAATTTTCAAGTACTATTTAGATGTAGAAACATTCTTCTTTTTTTTCGAGGTTTAATTATTTTACAACGATGATGGAAATAAAAATGTCCGTATTAAAGCCAGAGCATACGGAAGAATTAATACATGGAATTTAACTTATTTATAATGAGAAATTTGAGAGATATAAACTTAAAAATAATACTCTGAATATTAATAGATAAATCCAGGCACTTTCTAATCTTTCTAAACAATCAATAAATTCTCACTATTATATTATTAATTGTTAAAATGATTTTCTATTGCTTTGTACCTATGTATTTATGTTTGAAATACTGAAGTAGTATTGTTAAGTAATGTACTTTACAATAATATGTTTTGAACATCAATATGATGTAGTGCCTATTAATAATAATAATTTCATATAAGTGTTCATATATTCATTGAGTTTATTAAAAGTCTTTGATCATTTTGTTTATTTCCAATAACTATAGTTAATGTTGAATAACATTTTAGTAATAGTAAATTAATGATCCTGTCAAAATATACACGAATGAATAATCGTTTATTTATATCTTTTCTATATTGTTTTTCATACTTGATTTAATCTCACGATATAAATAAATAATAATGAACAAATGTGCTTTACAATTCACAAAACACGGCAATCCAACATTGTTTCTCTTTTTTTTCTATGTAGATATTCATTATGTTCAAGTAGAGTAATAAAGAACATTTTTAAATATGTAAATTCTATTGAATGGAATATCTTTAATAAAAAAAAACACTCTATTGCGGAAAACTCATCATCCTGCATAATTTTCTTTTTTTTTGTCAAACAATGAGTTATAAATAGATTGTATACATGTTAAGTTGACACTTCACCAAGTTAAAATTGAGAAATATATCCTAATATAAAATTATTCTAAACGATTGTTAATTATATTCTTATAAGTAATAACTATCACGAACACATCCGAGAATAGGTATACAAGAGTAACATTATAATCTGTATGTCCACTATATTATTCAATGATTTAACTGCTTTGAGGTAGGATTTTGGAAAGGGGGGGGGGGCGATTTTGGCTAAAAGCTATTTGTTGGGTCCAATCGAAGTAGTGTGAACCTATTTTTGCTGTAAAAAGTCAAAAAAAATTCGGAAGGGAGGCGATCACCCCTCCCAAATACGCCACTGACTTTGAGTATCATATGTTTGTATCAGAATTCATCAACTTAGAACTTTATGTACTAATTTAGTTCGATAGAAAAAAAGAACGATGCTTATTTATTATTTCTACTCATGTAATAGTTTACTGAATAATTTTATTAATATGAATGTTAATTTTAATTGGATACGATTAAATTCTGATTATATATAATATTTCTATAGAATCTCTTTTAGTAATATTGTTGACTGAATATATATTATTATGCAGGAAATTGAGTTCGATGAATAAATATGAGCAGAAAACATTGTGAACGTCAAACCAAAGTTTAATTATGAACAATCGATGTGATTTAAGTCAGTGTGATATATTTTAAATCGAATAACTATAAGTCAAAAATATATAATATATCTCACACAACCAATAATAAAAAAGTCATTGCATGTATATGGTATTCTATACTTAACTTGTAAAAATCATATCAAGACATTAATATAAATTTTTTAATAATTTTACAGATCAAACGAATGACAGTTACTTTTTTGAATAAAAACAAATCAGACTTGTTCTATATAATTTATACATCATCCTATTTTTTAAAATTTGAAAAAAGTATACGCGTACTTTTTTTCTGTTATAGATGTCACTCGTTATCAATTTTGTGTTTCCTAAAAAAATATCATTATCGATTGGTTATGGGCATTTGATTGTTTTTTTTCTTGTGGGTTATTCGTTTGAAAAAAAAAACATTAGAAATTTTCATCTAAGTATCATTCCATAGGAAATTATGTCAATAATAGCAAATTCAACAAATAATTCTACTCAATTAGTTCGTACAAATTGGCCAGGAACGACTTCTACAGTATCACCTACAATAAATTCCAATTCTAGTACAATTAATCCTCCTTCTATTTCATCATCTATATCCCAAGAAAATAAGACTAATGATTCTCCATTAAAATCTTCAACATCAATTCAAAATGATGATCCTATGTCTGAATCAATAGCATTTGATCGAGGAATACTCACATATCCATTAACAAATTATACTTTTGGTACTAAAGAACCATTATATGAACGTGATAATTCTGTTCAAGCAAGATTTCAACGTATGAGAGAAGAATTTACGACATTAGGTGTAAGACGTAGTGTTGAAGCTGTTTTATTAGTACATGAACATAATCTACCTCATATACTTCTATTACAATTAGGAACAACATTTTTTAAATTACCTGGTAAAACAAAAAAAAACACTAAATAGAAATAAATTATTTAGTTTTTTTTTTCATTTAGGTGGTGAACTTAATCCAGGAGAAGATTCAATTGAAGGTCTCAAACGTTTATTAAATGAAACAATAGGTCGAACAGATTCTACTGAAAAAAATAATTGGGTTATTGAAGATGTAATTGGTAATTGGTGGAGACCGAATTTTGAAGCACCAAGATATCCATATATTCCTGCTCATATAACAAAACCAAAGGAACATATTCGGTAATTATAATTCTCTTCCTTTGTATTCTCGAATAACAATATTTTTTGCTCGTTTAGTTTATATCTTGTTCAACTCGGTGAATCAGCTATGTTTGCTGTACCACGCAATTATAAATTAGTAGCTGCACCTTTATTTGAATTATATGATAATGCATCAGGTTATGGACCAATTATTTCAACATTACCACAAACATTAAGTCGATTTAATTTTATTTATAAATAAAATTTGTTTTTGAGAGAAAAAATAAAATAAACTTTTTTGTTTTGTGTTTTATTATCCTAGTCGAAAATAAAAAAAAAACTTTCAAGGATCATAGTTGTATATGTATGTGTGTATTCATCTGTATTTAAGTCAGATAAAAAAAAAGACAAAGAATGTTTTCTGAATGTTTGTTTTTTTTTATTTTATGTCATTTTTTTTGATATTATACAACGGTAAAAAAAACCATGAATTTATTTAGTTGTGATACAATGAAAAATAATAATATTAAGGTTCAAAAAGTTCATCATCAATGTCTTCTTCTTCATTATCATCGAGAGGAGTAGCATCTTTCTCTTCAGAAGTTTCAATTGGAGTTTTAATAGATTTTTTGTCGTTTGTGCTTAAAGCAACACCACGAGGTTTTTTACGTATAGATTTTAGTTTATATGCAACTTCTTCATTATCATTATCATCATTTTCAATTTTTGGTTCAGTTGTAGTTGGAGGTAATGGTGCTCGTATAGGTATAAATCGATTATCTTCTTCATCTTCATTTGCTAGAATTGGTTTCTTTGCAGGACGTCGAAAAATAGGTATTGCTTGATTATCTTCTTCTTCTTCTTCTTTTTTAGTTTCTTTTGTAATTGATGGTTTCACTCGTGTACGAAGAAAATCATTTAATGCATGTTGATTACCCATACCACCTAAATGATGTTCATTAACATCATCTAAATCATATTTTTTCCATTTATCCATTGGACGAGTAAAACTATCATCAGCTGGACGTTTTTTAAATGTTATTGCATTGCTTGGAATTATTGGATTTTGTTGGGATGTTGAAGGAGTTTCATCATCAATTATACATATAGGATTTTGAGTTTTTTTCTGTACATCATGTTGTTTTTCAAGATTTGCTAATTTATCAAATACATCATTTGAACGTGACTTAAAATCAGTTGTTGAAGTAGTTAATTGATAGAAATCTAATTTGAATAAACAACATATTAAGATAGAAATGTAAAATGAACGATATCAAATGTCCTTAAACAAGTTTAACAGACTTTGTGGATAACCCATTGATTGTCTGTGATAAATAGTTGTCCGTCAACTAAAAGAGCTTAGAAGCAATTCGGATTTCTTCCGAGGACTACGTCTATTAATCGTTGTAGAAAGATATTAAATCAATGAAAGTATACTCAGATTGTACACTATACCAGAGAGCTGAATGTTTTTCATCTTGCAATACATACAAAATGCTAATTACGGTTTTCCCAGCACTTTTCAAATGAAATAGTACTACACAGTAGTTCTTAGCATAATTATCTGATATCGTACTTATGTATTCTTTTCCGATAAAAAAGTTTTGCATAGTTAAATAGCTCAGATTAGTTCCAAACAAACACAAACTTCTCTCATTCAACGTTCTTTGAGTATGATCTCTAATGATTATAAATTATCGTTACAATAACGATGGAATTTCTATTCTTTCTCAAAGAATTTTTTGAGCAAAATGAATACCTGACATATTGTTATTTTTTTTTCTTGTTAAAGATGATCTACAATTATGAAATAAGCTATGTTGGTTTTTAAAAATAAAAAAAAAAACTTTCGATTCTTGTTTGTTTTCCTAATTTATTCAAACAAACAAACAAAAAGTAATGGTATAATCGACTTTATACTACGCGGTACCGAAAAAAAATACGGGATGCTTCATAGAAAAAAAAATGGGAAAGGTAATGGATTTAATAGGATGATTTATTGTCTATTTATCATCACCATGGGCTTCATTTTCTGGTGGTTTTTCATCAGCAAATTGACTTGGTAATTTTCGCTGACATCGAGTATATTCCCAATTAGCCCATGTAAAAACTCCGTATCCGAGTAAGATATTTGGCACCCATATTGTGAAAAGTGTCTTAAAAAGTCGAGAATAATAACGATATGAAACATCACCAAAAACACCAGCATATGGATTTTGTTCATATGCTGAAAGAGTATATTCAACCTAAAAATATTATTAGCAAATACTAATGATGAAAATAAGATTTTACTTTGCCACGTTGTTGACCAATTCTACCCCAGGTCATACCTAATCGACTTAATGAGAGACGCATTTTGATGATATCTATTCAATAGAAAAATCTACAATCAATTGATTATGATTATTCAATCTGATAGAAGTAAATAAGACAACATTATGCTGTTAGGTTATTATTATAAATAAACTATTTGTAATTTGAGTAAATCAATCTACCAATCAGAATAAAAACTACAGATAGAGTTCGCCATATGTCAATAGTAGAAGAGTATTTACAATAATTGAAAGCTATAAGATGTTAAACAGTAATTTCTTAAATATGAATCAGTCATATTTGAAAATTTTTCTCAATTTGCTATCTAAAGTTACGATATATTACTATTATGCATACTATTTACAACGAAAATATCTCAAATGTTCAACTTTATATTGATTCACCTATTAGAATCTATTGAGATAAATCCAAATAGGTAAAACCTCTCTACTAATAAGCCATCGCTCCGATTCTTTTTGCCCTTCTTGTCAATCATAATAGACTCTATTGAATGAGATAAACCATCATGAGGGTGTGGGTGCAACGTAAATACAGTATTCACACCACACCCACACCTACCCTCAAGATCACGAACAAAAATAGGTGAATCTCTCTCGTTCTAACGTTTTATGTTTAGAATTCGTTCTGTTTAATTTATATCTTTGCTAATTCGAAATAAAAGAAAAGACGAAAATTATAGTTACTTTTAAAATAATCACGTGTAATGAATAGATTTAATATGAAAATCTAATACAAAGATTTACATTGTTGAAAAAGGGTAAAGAAGAGAAAATATTCCATTTTTATTTTGTATTTTATCTACAAAATAATATTGATCGAAATTAAAAGAATTAAATTAATTCGAAATCTTATCTTTTGTCTAAATTTCCATTTTAATTTTGTTATAGAAATAAAGAAAAACATTTCGTCTTTTTCTTATTATTATTTTACAATAATTTTGAGATGAATAGAAATTTTATAGATTCATTATTAAAATATTTCTTTAAATAAATTCAGATTTTATTAATTTCATCTTTCTAGATAATTCTACTAATATTCAAAGAATTTTAATATTCTATATCATCTTCTCTCATACACAAAACATTTAATGAATTTTTTCATATATAAATAATATTAAAGTTTTGAATGATAAAAAAATTAATATTTAATAATAATTGAAATGATTAGTAAGAAAAATAATTTCAAAGTTAGTTAAATTTTTGAATGACCATTAGATTAAATAGTTGATTAGCAATTCATTTAAACTGTCAGTTATTAATTGTCTAATGCTGTAGACTAATTAAAAGATCAGTAAATCCAATTTTTCATCAGTCGAATGTATGAAAGCGTCAGTATCAAAAAGTTGAAATAATATAGAATGAATAATTTCTGTTCTACTTTTTCTCTTTCTTCCATAATTTCGTATAGATACTTGTACTTGTAACCTATTACTTTCAACCTACAAAATATATGAATAACAAAGATATCGTTCGATACTGTTTATTGTTGACTATGAAAGATGAAGGAAAAAAACCATATTCATTTTATCCCTCGATATTCTCTTTATGTGTTATTGTATGTAAATACCTCATGATTTTTTACAAGAAAATACAATATATCTTGTAAATAAAACTGATGTATTTTCAAATAGAATTCACATAAATTCAGGGTGTAGATGTGTGATGGATATAGAAACCACACACTACACTCACACCTTCAAATCCATAGAAATTTGTTAAATCAAATGTGATGATAAAAGCCAAATAATGTATTGTTTATTAAATAAGTGAAGAATAAAATAAAATATATTGATAATTAAATGGAATAAACATTGAAATAATGTTAACAAGATTTAATTCAATGAGAAGTATATTTATTCATTGGTAAACTCATTTGAAATTTTCTTAGTTAAAAAATAATTTTTAAAATGAACAAAATATCGAATATGAATTTTTCAAAAAATATAGTTAACTTTGAATATTTCTATGATAATATAATGGTTATAGAATGTTGTTTATCTCAATTATAAGATAAAATTCTTTGTTAAACAAAACAAAAAGAAATTTTACATAAAAAAGCTTTTATCTGATTAACAAGAAAACTAGAAATCTGACGGAGAATAGAAAATATTTCGAATTTCTTCAAAGTCAGACATGATTTCTAAGAGAAAAGAAAAAGAAATTCTTATCTGATCGTTAAGACAAACACCACGTGGTATTCTTCTATATACATATCAGCGTCTATAGATTATTCTATTCGATTTAACATGTAAACAATAGTCTTATTTTAAACAAGATTTCCAAATAAAAATATTTATAATTCAAGCTAGACTAACAGTTTTTTTAATAACGATTTAATGAAAGATCAACTAGCGATTGAAATGAAAAATAGAAATGTTTAATATAAACAAAATCTTTGGATTATTTTTCTTATTGTTGTAAATAAATATATTTTATAGAAGAAAAGTTTTGCTCTAGTTTTTCAGGTAAAAATCAGATATAATGATAAATCTATTATATTAATATAAGATAAATTTTAATTAGAAATAGAAATAAGAATGATAAAACTTCTATCTGAGAAAAATCAAATAAATTCATATCTATTTTATAATATTAGTAATTTATTTAGATAAGTCTCTGTCTATGAATAAATAGTAACCAGATTTCATTTTTATATTTCTAACAACTAGATTATATGAAATGAACTTATTTTTTCTATCTATTTCTATTATTGATTATCATATAAAATATAAAATACTATAGGAAAAAAAACCCAAACGATATCGTCATTTTAGTCATATTGAAGAAGAAGAAGTTGAAATAGATGAATATATTCTTTTAATATTCATATCGATTAATATGATGATAAGACTAGAATTGAATTAAATCTTAAGTAATCTCTGTTATGATATTGTATATAAATGGATGAAAAATAATAAATAATGTTTAAATCGGAATTTATTACTTGTCAAAATTGAACAAGTTGTGATCTCCCAGAAAAACACAGTTTTATAATAAAATTTTTTAAAAAAAGAAATGAAAGTAGTAAAAGCATGCAAGCATCAGAAAAATATGTTAAGTATTAATTCTGATGTTGTTGTTTTTATTGTTGGTGTTTAATATCCGGATGATGGAAGACGATCGAATGATCGGATGGTTGGTTTTTGAAAGAAGGTTTGTTTGTGCATACGTGGAGCACCATATGATGAGACGACTGGTTCAATTAATCGTTCTTGTTGTGGAACAACAAATTCGGTTTTGGCACCATATTCAACTTTTGGTTCATCAGCAAGGATGATTGATTTTTCGACGAGTGGTGCACCATATGATGATTGGATTGGTAAATCACGGAATACTTTTGGTTCATCATACTCTGAACCAAAAGTATTCCGTGATTTACCAATTAA